AAACTCTGAGTAATACTACATCATAGTCTTGCTCCATAGAACAAGTCTCAAGAAAGTCTACTCCATATACTATCTTATAGAAGGTGGTATAAATCAAGCTCACAACACATCAGAGAACTCCTCCTAACTAATCAAAGAGTTTATGCTCCCCTAACTGCTAACCTATCCACCAACATTTTGCCTCAGTACCTAATAAAAAGATAGCTAGCGATACGGTCCTCTCAAGTGGACACTACATACAATCAAATATCTTCACTAGCCTCCTCAATAAGTCCCTTGCTACCCTAGGATAAACAACACTCTCAAACCTCAATGGATTCAATCTTAATAATATATACATATGTAAATCTACCTCATTAAATCTCACAGCAGGAACCCTGCTTTATAGCCTTACCCATTATCCAGGCTATCAGACCAGCAAACTTCAAAACTATCTAAGTACCAACTATTAGAGCATTACTATATATAGGAGTTGTCTAACTGACACTCTATCGATCTATCATATATGGATATGGGGATCCATACTTATATATAATATGCAATTGAACATACATACACATGAAATAAAGAATAACGAATAACTAGATAAACTCAAAACTACCCCACTTGATCTATAGATAAATTTTTATAACTCTATTTTACAACTCATTTCAAAACTATTACTCTGATACCAAAAAATCTTATCACAACCCAACCTAATGGGATAAGCCCTATCATGTTGAGTTGTGATAACTCCTAAGTGCTAGTTTTAGATTATGTTCCAAATTTCATTTCAAATAAATAACATATTATAGAGCTACTAAAATATTCAGAGTAATGAATATAAACTCATCTAAAAAATCTTTTTTTTTTTTCATTTCATCAAAATGATATATACAAGATCTACACTACAACACATGGCTATAATATATATTATAGAGCAAAATACTAAAAAAAAATAGTCATGACTGTATAAAAATTAAAATAGAGAAATACTTATAAATTCAGATCAAATCCTAAACTGCTAATCAATTGGCTCATTCCTTTTTCCAGGACATGAAAATAAAAAAAAAAACTGTGGTGAGCTACAACAGCTAAGCAAGCTACAAATATCAATCTAAATTTCAAAATATTTCTTTGATTAAAAAAATTTCAATCATTTTTAAAGAGCAGTATAATCAATAATTATACTAAAATTAATTAATAAGAGCACATGAGTTATCTAAATTCAAATAAATAATTTTGAGTAGGTAAATATACTAAAATTCATATTAATTTTTCTCAATCCTAGATAGAATCTTAGAGGATTCTGAACATTTATGACTTCCTTTGTGCTTATAGCAACAGAACAAGTTCGTAGGCATAATAATATGGCTTAATGGCCTTATAGGCACTAGAATATTCTAAATCACAGACAAATTATCAATTGATTTGTATCCTTTATATCTCCTAATCGATATTTTTTAATCACATAAGAACATATTTCATCACTAGGGGTGTCAATATTTGACACGACCTGAAAATTTGACATGAAAATTTTTGGTTCAGGTCAACTCGAACTAGAAATGGGTATGGTTTGGGTCCTAATTTTTTATCCATTTTGAATTTCTATTGGGGTTCGGGTTCACCGAAAAACCCAAAATTGGCCCAATTTTGACCCGGAATACTTCACAGCTAGCAAAGTCAAACAACAACTTGAGTGAACTCCCATTCGACTGGAAGGGAATGTCATCCAAGGAGCAAAGTCTAATGATAATGATCTCGCATCATGACTTCCAATCAAAATGTTACAACTTTCGATCAAACTGGAAGGGAATGTCATCCAATGTGTGAAGTTGAACATTAGCGTACTCTCGTCATTGCTTCTGATGAAAATGTTGCAGCTTATGATCCAAACAAAATTGAACGTTGTCCAAGGAGCGAAGTCAAATAATATCGAAGGAGCCATCGATGACCTCCCATATAACCGGAAGGGAATTCCATCAAAGGAGTAGAGTCGAAGTGTTGAACAACAGCAAACTCCTATCGTTGCTTCCGATCAAAATGTTATAACTTCCGATCCGACCGAAAGGGAATGTCGTTCAAGGGATGAAGTCGAATAGCAGCAAAGGAGCTAAAGACCGAGTGCAGCGAGCAAACTCCCATCATTCTTCAGATTAAAATGTTGCAGGTCAGGTTCAGGTTGACCTAAATCCAAGGCGGAACGAGTTCTGGTCTAAAAACCAACTCATATTTAAAAATGGGTTAGGTTCGGGTCAGGAAAAATAGTGTCGGGTTAATTCTGGGTTGTACCGAACCTAACGCATGACCCAATTTTGATAGCCATATTCATCACATTGTAATAGTTAAAGCATAATTTAGCTCATGCCAAAATTGTACAATTTTTTATAAAGGTAAGCAATAGACATTCTTACTAAAAAAATTACAATTTCAAAATATAACCAAATTATAAGAGATTGTGCAAAATATTTTTAAATAATTTAATTGTACTACATCACTATTTTTTAGAGTCTAGATTATTTTTTATTAAATAAAAACTGTATACTTTCTAAATTTTTAGGTGGAAATTTTTCATAAAAGTATAATAATAGTTAAGAATCTCAATATCTATAATATCTAAAAAATTATGAGGTGAAAGTATTTCAGTGCAAAGTTATCCTCATTTTTAGTAATGGAATTAGAAATTTAATAAAAAAATAGAAAAACTTTATATTTTTGAAAACTAACATAAGCATAATATGATCTATGTTGATCCGAATAGCTTTTTCAATTGGTCGATGACTAAAAATGATTTGAAGCTACTCAAAAACCCTTCTTTTCCTTCCCAAACTCTTTTCTTGCGGCTGCCATCTCTCAAATGAATAATGAAATAATGGTTTTATTTTATATTTGAAGTATGATTAGTGGCCTAGTGCTGCAGCGCTACCATTGAAGCGCTAAGGCGCTAGTTCATTTTATAAAAACTTGAGTCTACAGCATTGAAATGTTACTATTTCACACCTTGGAGCTGTTGTGGCACCACGGTGCTCAAACACTCAATATATGGGCGCTAAATTAATAACTTTTTTTAGATTTTTCTAAAATTTGCTTTAGACCCTTGAGACTCATTCTAAAACACTTGCAACCTTTCTCAAGCATTAAAATACTTTCAAATGCATGCAAATGGGTTCAACTCAAAATTTTAAATATTTACATTTTTTCAATCGGGTCAAAATAGGTCAATCCATATGTTGAACCTGGAGGCATCACATTAAAAATGAACATAGCATGTACCTGTAAGCAAGGAAGGCTATCTATTAATACTATAATTAATATGAGTTTAATCTTAAAATATAATACATTACACATGAGGGTAGTCCGATGGGATTTTCTTAAAATAAAAGGTTTATGGCATAATCTTGATGTTAGCTTGTAATTGATTGAGTGGGTTATGCCGACGATCTGAAGGTGATGACTTTTTATTGATTATTGAAAATCACATGTAATGATGATTAATTAATGATATAATGAATAATTAATGTGATTCATGGATGACATATAAAAGAATGAAAATACCTCATTAATGTTTAATCTCATGCTTTACTACTTATAATTACATTCATGATTGTATTTATATGATAATATATTGAATTTATTGATAGATGGAACTAGTATAGAACTTATTGAGTTAGCATTGAAATCGATACAACATGACATAGCATATGATAGATATACTCATAGATATTGATAGACATATTAATATAGTACACTGGCATGATCATTGATAGAAAACATATGATGTAACCATGGTATGAATACAATAGATAGACAATTTATATATACTTTACTATATGACACCTATCATTTCTTTATAGACTTTTATTGAATTTTTGTTGGATTCCTATGCTTTTTAAGATGTTTTTATTTTACTAGTCATATTAAATTTTTATTGATATATTAATACTGATTGTTTATTTTATACTGATGAATATTGATTTTATATTGATTGAGTTGAGCCTACATATTGATTCTTAATATCTTGCATTAAATGCATTAAAGAGTTCTGGTTGCTTGTTAGGTTGTATGCTCATTATGTGGATTTGATTGATTTTCAAGTTTAAAACGGTACTAGCTGAGAGATTGACCATAGTAAGATTTCAAGTTTAGTTTATTCTTTTGTATTTTTTTATTATTCTTTTGTAATCAGAGAGTTTGTAATAGATGAATATTCTATAATGAAGTTTTGGTTATTGTATATGGATTTTGAATAGTGATGTGTGTGTCGATAAATGACTTGATATATTTTGTTAGTTTAATTGATACAAAAATGAAATTATCTGCACTAGTAGATTAATTAGAGAATATAAATGGTATAATTCTTTAAATGTAGATATTGAGGTGTTACATGAATTAATTTATTCTTTGCCCTTCCTTTTAAGAATATTCACCTTTGACCAATGTCATTCTCCTAATATCCCATTTCAAGTTGCTTGCAATAGACCCTTATAATGGATAATATGATCCTTACAAATATATCAATCACTATTGGTTCATCATGCATATACAAAGGCTAAATCACTTATCTACTATGTCTTCACTACCATGCTCTAGGGTCAATCCAACAGTTGATTTTATTTATATGTATACACATGTCGAAGATAGGCGTGAATTAGGCTTTTAAGGTTATTTTTGAACCACCATGAAATATTTTAGTTTCATGATAAAATTTGATGCAAATTAATAACTGGTTTTTTTATTGAAGGAAATGCAAACAACATTTAACTAGAAAAGAAGAAGCCAAAGCCTAGATACAAACTAATAGAGAGCTTTCTCCAAACAACATTGCTTCTTAACAAGCTTAACAAAGGAGGAAGGGAGAGTTCTCACAAAAAAATGTCCCAAATAAAATCATAAGAAAATGATAGGTTAGCACAAAAATCAGCTATCCTATTACACTTCCTACCAATACATTTAAAAATGACATTATTCCCATACCTTAAACCGAAGAAGTCTTCATCTCCAATGTCTCCAATTTTCTTATTTCATTTGCTGTACATGTTGAGAAGAAATTGAATAACATTCTTATTGTCTTCCTCTATGATAACACCTTTGGCATTATCCAAACAATTATTCAATAGATCTTTTAAAGAGTTGAAAGAATAAAGTTCCAGTTGTGCTATATCCCAATGCATTCCATAGAGACCAAAAGCATGAACAAATCTTCCTTTATGGTCTCTAACAATTCCTCCAATGCCCGCTCCATAGTTGCTCCTCAATGCAGCGTCAATGTTAATCTTGTACCACTCGGGTGGTGGAGGATGCCAAAAATCTGTAGACAATCCATTGGATTGAATAGCATCCCAGTTTTTCTAGAGCACTTTATGTTTTTTATCCAGCGCCATAATGCTAATCACATTTGCAGCCAAAACGGATTCACTGTCTTCTTTCTTACCATGCCTTGTTTTATTCCTATCATTCCATAAAATCCATAACATGGTAAAATAAATTTTTACCATCAACGGATTCTTCTCATACAATAATTGTAACTCATTCATACATTGCTGAAAAGATTCAAAGAATGGAATATGAAAACCCCAATCCCGCAGAGTGCAAATAATTCTAACCAACTTTGGACATTTAGTAGTTACATGGTCTAGATCCTCCACTTCTCCACATCCTCTAGGACACATATTATTATTAGAAATTCTCCATTTCATCAGAAAATTTGCTGTTGGAATAGCTTTTTTGCAAAGCCTCCAAGTGAATAATTCAACCCTTGCATACAGTTTCATCTTATGAATCCATAAGTAAGAATTTCCCTCATCCATCCTCACCTTCTCTTCTTTAATCAATGCAGCAATCGTTTTTCCAGAGAACTTATATTTAAGATCCATAAAATCTTCCTCTTCTTCTTGATGTATTTGAATGTTACTAATGACATTAACCAAGTCTTCACTGAAATAAAGAAGAAGTTTATCAATGTTCAATCTTCCTTCAAGAATGAAATAATCCAGAGTGATGTTATCCTGTTCGAATGGAGCTGCAAATGTTGGCCATTTGAGTAGGCTTTTATAAAAAATCCATACATCCTTCAATACATCAATATGAGATCCTTTCACCACATTCCATCTGCTAATGTTTCTCAAGGATTTCCAACCACTAGAAATAATCTTCCATGCCGAAGAACCTCCTTTAATAACATCTTTCTTCCACCAGTCTTCACCGTATTTGATCACGAGGTTTCTATTTAATAAGGAGTCTGGGTTGATAATCAGATTCCATGAGAATTTAGCTCTTAGAGTTTGAATACTGCTAATAGCTGAATGGATACCCCAGCCACCGGATGCTCTTGGTTTGCAAAGATCTTCCCAAGCTACATAGTGCAACCCCTGTTTTCCATCTTAATTATTCCAGATGAAACTTCTGCAGTATTTCTCAAATTCCCTCAGCACACTAATAGGAATAATGGAATGAGAAATTAAATATAATGGTAGCTTACAAAAAACTAAATTGGCAAGCACTAGTTTTCCAACTAGAGAAATATATCTATTTCCCCAAGCATTTAAAATCCTCTAAGATTTATCCAATAGAAATTGAAAATCTGACTTTTTCAATCTTCTTAAGGCCAATTTTGTTCCCAGATATTCAAGCTCCTCTACCACCTTGATATTCAAGATCCTTGCAATTTTCTTCTTCCTTCTTCTCTCAACATTCTTGCTAATAATCATGGCAGATTTTTTGAGGTTCAATTTTTGTCGAGTCCATCCATAGCAATTGCTCAAAATGATCTTCAACTCCTTAATGCTTTTAATCTTAGCATCAGACAATAACAGGACATCATCTACATAAAGCAAATGAGATATCTTCTTACCTCTAGAGGCAACTTTAATGCCTAATTCCTTCCCCTCCTGAGAAAGGACATTAGTTAATAATTGGGGACAAATGATAAAAAGAAAAGGGGATAATGGACATCCCTGACGGAAACCACTCCTCCTCTCAATCCACTTGGATAAGCCTCCATTTATGATAATTGAAAATCTAGGCTCCACAATGCATTCCATGATTAGCTTCATGAATCTCACGAGAAAACCCAGCCTTCTCATCATCTCCTCAAGAGTATTCCAACTCATGCTATCATAGGCTTGCTCCATATCTAGTTTGATGGCCACCAAACCTTCTTTAGATTTAGAGATCCTTATTTTATTGACCAATTCCTGTGCCAGCAATAACTGATCGGAAATGCTTCTCCCCTTCAAGAAAGCTACCTGCTCCTCTAAAATAACTTTTGGAATAACCATCAAAAGCCTGTTCAGTAAAACCTTATCAACTACTTTATAAATGGAGTTGCACAAGTTGATAGGACGAAAACCTTCTGGAGATAAAGGATTAGAAATTTTTGGTATCAAGACAATAAGAGTTTCTTTCCAATTACTACACATCTTTCCTGAATAAAAAAACTCTCTAACAGCTTTACAAACATAAATACCAATAATGCTCCAGTAATTTTTAAGAAAAGAATACATAATACCATCAGGTCCAGGAGATTTGTTGTTGCCGAGTCCTTTGATAACATCCAGAATTTCCATATATGAGATTTGATTCTCCAAGATTCTTCTATCAGCATCATCCAGAATAGCTATCTGTTTGGGCCAATTATCAGTGCAGCAGTCCTTTGTTTCCATTTGTTTTGGAAAAACTAGAAAAACACCTTATGCATCTCTTCGGGATATTGAGTGATCACACCATCAGCAACTTTATTTTGAGAAATCCTTTTTCCATTTATTCTTGTGTTGGCAAAATAATGAAAAAATTTAGAATTAGTATCACCTTCTTCTATCCACTTAGCCTTTGCTCTTTGCCTCCACCATGTATTAAGTCGTGAAAGTACTGAATTAAGCTCTTTAAATTTTGATCTCAGCATCCAAAGCTTTTCATCAGTAAGCCATCCAACCGAAGCCTCTTCTTCTTGAATCAGTGAGATTTCTTCTTTTAATTTCTCCTTTTCCAAAGAAAAGTCCCTAATCCTTGTTATGCATCTCTTCGGGATCTTGAGCGATCACACCATCAGCAACTTTATTTTGAGAAATCCTTTTCCCATTTCTTCTTGTGTTGGCAAAATAATGAAAAAATTTAGAATTAGTATCACCTTCTTCTATCCACTTAGGCCTTTGCTCTTTGCCTCCACCATGTATTAAGTCGTGAAAGTACTGAATTAAGCTCTTTAAATTTTGATCTCAGCATCCAAAGCTTTTCATCAGTAAGCCATCCAACCGAAGCCTCTTCTTCTTGAATCAGTGAGATTTCTTCTTTTAATTTCTCCTTTTCCAAAGAAAAGTCCCTAACCCTTGCCTTTCTCCAATAAAACAAATCCTTCAAAGCTTTCTTACACTTCTTATTGAGAATCTCCATATCACTACCTTGGAATGGCTTCCTCCAAACTCTTGCAATAATGAGAGACGAAGCTTTGTAAGAAATCCACAGATCTTCAAATTTAAGCATCCCATTCTTTTTATAAGAATTATCAAAAATCTTCAAGACTATAGGACAGTGATCCGAAGCAACTCTAGAAAGGTGTCTAACCACAGCTACATTAACTCTATTGATGGCTATAGAGTTAAGCAAACATCTGTCCAGTCTTTCAAGAATACGATCTCCACCTGATTTATTGTTACACCATGTGAATCTTTGACCAACAAAACCCACATCATGAAGGTCACTCATATTTAAGAAATCAGCCATCTCTTTGGGACATGAGAAAAAGCAAATTTTCTTCCACCTTTCTTCTCTTCTTGAGATAGGATGCAATTAAAGTCTCCCCCAACAATGAAAGGAACCTTTCTATTGGAAACCTCGTATAAACTCCTCCATAACTCTCTCCTTTTTACAACTTCCTTGTTACCCTAGATGGTAGCAATCATCCACACCCCTTTATTGAAGACATTGAGATCTCCAATAATACACTGATTTTCTTCCTTTAAAACCGAGAAAGAAGCTAAATCAGATCTCCACAACACCATTATACCTCCAGAAAGTTCATTAGAAGGAATGAGATAGAAATCCCAATCAGCTCCCATAATATTCTCAAAGGAAACTTTATCAAAAGCATTGATCTTAGTTTCCATCAATCCCACAAACAAAATACCATGGTCTTTAATCACCTCCTTAAGATATAGAGTGGGCTCTTTCTTCTTCGCCCCTCTATAATTCCAAAAAGTTATGGAGTTCATTGATACAATCTAGGGGATGCCACCCCTTCTTTCTTTCTATTACCACCACCATCAAAACTCCTCCCTCTCGGAATGTTCTTTATAAGGCCAAGAGATTTCAGCTCTTTAGCTAATTTCATCTTATTAGACTCACCGTTAGAACATTTATCTCTTCCCAAAGTACTACTAGAATTGTTTCTGTCAACATTTTCAACTATGTTTGACCTCATTCTAATATCATCACCGGTTCCTTTATTTTTTTCCATACAATTATCCACATCTAACATTTCTTCATTTAACAAATTAACACTGACCGAATTCAGAATATCAAATTTATTAACAGAATTTGATATGTTGGGAATAACAGAAACAGAGGTCTTACTCATAGCAGCTTCATGATCTTCCTTGCCATTTACTGAAAAATCTTCTTTATCCACAGCATCAGCTCCAAACTTTGTATCATTTTGTTGATCTGTTTCTGAAACCAATTCTCCATCTTCTAGTTGTTCTTCAATACCCATTTCAGCTATCACTGTGAGAGCCGAGTCTTTCCTCGCTTCATCTCCACCCGAACCACCTTTCTGAGCTATTATTAAATTTCCATTCTTCTTAACATATATATCTTTGCTGTATTTCACCACATTGCTTCTTTGAACATGCCATCTACCTTTCTTGTTGTTAACGAGTATCCAAGGACCATATGATGGTTCATCAACTTTATCTTGCACAATTCTTCCTTCAGCAACTTCTTTATTGTTACTGTCAACAATCTTCCCTTCACTGGATTTGCTTCTGCTTTTTTCACATTCTTCCTTCAAGTGCCCAATCAAACCACATTCGAAGCAAAGGTTGGCCACTTTCTCATATTCAACTTTTTGAAAGAACCTCCCCAAAATGCTATCCACCCAAATTCCCAAAGGAAGAGGTTGATCAAGCTTCACCCGTACACAAACTCTAGCAAACTCCCTCCTTCCCCATTGGAATAAATTCCCATCCATCATTAATGGGATACCAATTCTAGAAGCAATCCTTGCTATGTTAACTTCATCCCAACATTGCAAAGGCAAGTTAGGCATTCTAACCCATATGGGAGAGGTTAGACCCTTCATTGATAAAGTAGAAATGTTTGTGGACCACTTCTCCGTTCCCACAATGTGTCCATTAATGAAACATGGTCCTACTGAAAGAGCTGCTTCCATCATCTCCTCCGATTGAAAAGAACATAAGAACCACCCTCTTCCTAAAGTGGTAAAATGAAATTGGCCCAAGTGATTCCATTGCTTTCTGATTTCCCAAGCTACCAAATGAGAAGCAAGTTCTCTTCCAAACACCTTTATTACCACAGAATTCAATAGTTTATTTGAATTCTTAATTTCCATTTCTTCATCCAGCCTTACTGCTTTGCCATCATCAGAAAAAAAACATTTCATCTTCTTTAAAATCAATTTTGATATACGGCTTTTTACTCCAAGGATTAATGTTGCCAATACTATCAGTAGTATTCGGCATTTTAGCAATCACCTTATCAACATTCGTTCGGTTATTACTATTCACCACGGATTGAATATTATTGTTATCCAAATTCAATGAATTCGCCTTTAACTCATTGCTTCCCGAGTTTATATTTGAATTCATAAATCTGTTAATGAAGATTTTCATCCCGGAAGAGGAAGCATCGGGATCCATTGATTTTGTATCAGAAAAAACTTCATCAATACCTGGAGTAATATTCATTCCATATTCATCCAATCCTTTGCCTTTGCCTTCCACATGAATATTGTTCTTAGGCACTTCTTCTGAAACATCTTTAATCACCAACGGTCCATGCGACTTCTTCAAACGATCATCCAAGTATTGTTTGGACGACAATACCTCGTTTATATTTAGCTTAATTAATCTTCGAATTGCCAATAAAGGACGGAGATCTAGTCGCCGGAGACAGGGCTTGCCGGCGACTATCCGCCGCCATCCTCCAGTGTCCTTCCTAAGAAGCAGGAACGAAAATCGGAAAGCAAAAATTTGAATTTCTATGGGGTTTCTCTCTCTAACGGAATTTCTGGAGTTTCTCTCTCTAATCCACTCAATTACTTACCTTCAAACTTAAAGCTCAATTAATAACTGGTTAGAAAAGCATAATAATTAATAAAAATTGTGAAGGTATATAAGCTATGAATAAGCAAACAAATTTATGTGATTTTATCGCAGCTTATGTCTATGCATAGCTATTTATCAAACCTATAATTTTATGCACAACTAGCACTAAAGAAAATCATTGCTCCATCATTAGAGGAGAACCTTTACACTAATCATACATTTGGGACAACCTCCCTTTAAACCTTATCCATGATAATGGTATCTCATCCAAATCTTGTCCTCTAGAATAATTAGGCAAATACGAAGAAAATAATAACAAAATTACAAGGATGAATGAGTTTTTACACACGAATGGGCACTATACCTGAACAAGCCGGGCACATCACCAGAATATTGATGATTATAGCCAAGCAAGAAAACGTTTTTCTCACCATTTCAATCTAAAACCTTGCATGAGTTTTTGCCAAAGAAAATAGGTTTTTTAGCTAGCTATAAAAATGGAGTGCTTAAATTTTGTATGTGCTTATTAGAGCACTCACCTATGACTTTAGTCTTAAGAGAATGTTTATATTATAGCACTATAGTTTAAAACAGCTAATTAAAGTAATAAAATATATAAGATTTTTATCTTTTTTCCTCCAAGTCATCTCAATTTGCTTGATTGCAAACATCAATATTGAGAGTGCATTAATATTATTACTTCAAATAACTTGATCGTTAACATCAAATAAATTTCTTTATTATTAGATGATGAAACATATAGTTAAAGGCTCAAGAGATAGAAGTCTTATTTAAAAATCATACACAAAAATTTTCGATTTATATAGTGTCTTTCAACATAAATGTTCACACTCAACATTTATATTAAGCAAAGCATCAAACTCTATCTTTGGCATTATCAAAAAAATACACACATCTATATATAGATTTTAAAATATATTAAAAGAAAAGAAGAAGAAAAATGTGATAAGAATTTCAAAAATTATGAACAATTTTAATCATCGAATTTTCATTCTTATAACGTAGAAAATGTGAAAAAAATCACTCACCTAATGCCCCAACAAATTATTCAGAAATATTATTTGATGAAAATTTTAATTTTTTTTTGTACAAGATCTATAGTACATCAAAGGGAGTAAATACAAAAAATATTAATAAAATTTCAAAAGTTAAAACTTTTATTTTTCAAATCTATAATCGACGGAATAATAGATTTTGAGATGTCGATGTTAATAAATTTTCTATCATACAAAGTTATAATATTTTACATGAAAAATTATATGACGGTAACCGAAGATGTTGCTTATATTAAAAACAATAAAAAAAAATTCCAGGTTTGATATGACACTAGAAATTCACCAAAGATAAGAAGATCATAAATTTAATATCAAGATATCTAAGAAAATCAAAGCTCTCAAAAACATTAAAATGGCAGAATTTAATAAAGAAATTTCTTGGTAGAAACATATTGATGCAAAAGATCATCCAACAAAAAATACTAACCAAATATTTGAGAAAATAAAATTTAAAAATTAGCAAGAAAATCAATGAGAAATGATGAATTCCAGTATCAAATAAATTTTTAATATTTTCGGGGGAATGTCCTTTATCATCATATCTCCATTGCCACACCAAGGATGTATCATTAAATGAATCATTATCTTCTACAAGTGCTATATTTAATTTTTAGGATAGCTAACTTCTTTGGACAAGAAAATAGAAGCATCAAAATTGGACGATAAATTATCTCATCCAAATGGAGACAATTAACCTTTTTAGCAAAAAAATTAAAGCACCTCCATAGGGATTAAGATTCTATCTCATGTAGGATCCAATCAACACTAAAAAAATAAAATTAACTTCATTTCAAAAGAAGGTATGGAGCTCCATCATAAGGATTGAGAGCCTCTCTATCAAATTGGATCCAATTCATCCAAACAGATAATCAATTTCTTAATTTTTAAGAAATGATTTGAGTTCCTTTTGTGGGGATTGAGAATCTTAAGTACGTGAACTTAAATTCGTACAAATAGATAGTCATTTTCTTCTTCGGAAAAAAGAGCTCTGCCACAGAGATTATAAGTTTGTGTCAAATTTCTCTTATTTGATAATTATATTTGACTAGATGTGAAGGAGTTATAATTATTCTATAATTCTTAATTTTTTAGTATTTCACAAAATTTTGAATTTTTTTATTTAGAATGTTATATTAAAGAAACTAAAACTACAAAAGAAAAATTAAATTTTGAGAAAAAGTTATGCCTCTTCACAGGTCTATGTAACATACAATGTCAAACTAGTAGTCCACATATTCAGGCAAGTGTGGGCCCAATTTTTGGCTAAGGCAACCTTTTCTTGTATTTTTAGGGTCCTCTAGACTATTTTTTACATTTTGACTTAATATTGGTGCATTTACTGTCCAAAGTAGCCTCTATAATA